CACTATCCTGTTGAGAAGTGTTTTCCTTACGTTCGTCGGGAGATCGAGATTTTTGTGGTTCTTTAGACAGGTGTTTTGTTTCCACAGGCTGTCGTTTCTGTGCAACAATTTGAATTGCTTGGGCGTAACTCAGTTTTGACTGTACTCTAACAGTTTGAACCTCCTTTGCCTCCTGAAATTTTTAACAACCCTTGTATGCTGCTGAATGTTCACCCACTCATAAACAACATACTGGAGTCTGCTTAGTGCAGTCCTTTGCATTGTGATTTTCGCCACAAGTGGCATATCGAACATTACTGCGGCACACACACGTATGCAGTATGTCTGTAAGTTGGCACTTAAAGCACAGCGTTGGGTGGGGGATAAATTCCCGTACAGGAAGCGACAAAAAGCCGAGATGTACTCTCTTAGGTAGGGTCGTAGATAAGAAATGAAGAATAACGGAACTTATAGGTTCTTTAAGTTTTAGTTCTTTGTTGTATCGCGCCATTCTTATTGCCTTCGTAACTCCCTCTATGGATGTACAGTCCTCCTCAGTAATGTGGAGGTGGACACCATAAATGATGCCCCTAACAGAAGGTGGGGGCAGGTCTTGCATTTGGGAACGTATTTTATATCCACAAATGTTTTTTGTACGCGACAATGATCTCGACTTTGAATAAGTACAAACTATTTTAATACGATCTGTTTGCAATTGAATTTTTTCAGTAGGCCCAACGATATCGTTAAGGGCTATACTCAAGAGCATGGATTTACTTCGGTTATATTGATGTCCGGCGAAATAATGAAAACTATTTGTTTCTTGTCCGTAGTTGACTTTTTGTGTCCGAAATCCACGTCTTGCGACACACCAACAGTACAAGAAGTAACCGACCCATTCACACATCAGCGAGGGTCGTCCACATCCTTCACCACTCTCTCAGTATGACTACTAACACGTTCGCTGTTTCGTGGCATATTTCCGATACACACTTTCTCCAACAAACACCGCAATACCAAACGTTTAATCAAGCGAATTGGATCAGTCTTGAATGACTCCGTATCGGGACTAGTGTATACTAAACTTTACACATTATATAGGCTACACTAACGTGACGTTTCGGCGATTCGTTTAACTATTATACGTTATGTACGTTTTTTGGGGGTAGTTAATGAAAGTGTTCCAAAACGTGACATTAATTTCTTGACGACCTAATACTTATATTGTTTCACATTAATTGGAAACAGGTTTTAACTCGAGGATATTTAGAATTAAGCAGGTTTGTTATCCTTATACAAAGATACACTGTAAGATACTCAGAGCAAATAAGGACAAACCTGTGAATAAATACTAGATTATTAAAAACTTTTATTACGGGCTAAGAGTAGGGTCACCACATCAAAACTATACCTAATATTTGTTGAATTATACTTACAATGGTTCATTCATTTACCGATCCTCTGTTTTAGAATTCCAAAGTTAACAATATGTCTTACGTTACCTTTTATGCTGCAATAAATTACAGAATTTTATAGATTTTTATGACGCATTCAGGAAAACTAAATCGTTTAGAGAAGTATTCTGATATTATAGATTCTGTAAAGAGAAACTATTATAACGTAAAATAAAGTGTTTGAGCCTTAGCAGAAAAATACCCAGGGCCTTGGTTTGTTGTCAGTGCTTTACGATATTCTGTTGTTTTGTGTTCATTCTTGTATGAAATGTTTTTAAACTTTGAAATCAATACATTGAGGCCATTCCAATATTAATAATAAATGGTAATGTTGGCTTTCGATAATGGATTAAAATAAAATGTTTAATAATATGTCTTGAGTGATAATAATAACGCGCTTTGGTTCCCCCTGAATTAATTAATTAACAACAGTCCTTGGTCTTCCTTGAATGGTTACTTAAAGCCTTTATCCTAAATAACACATCTATTAAGTAGTTAACTAATAATACTCCTTGATCCCAAGAACTGCTTAAAAAGTTATTAAAGTTAAACAAGAAAGACGGTTATTATTAAGTTTGGCTTACAAGAAGGTAAATCTAGAGGTATGGAGAATGAAAGAAAACAAGAAATTTAACCAAGATGATTTACATAGTTTCAACAACAGGAGTTCTAAGCACTTTGCTCGCGTGTGGATGTCACGCAGGGCCACATTCTCATCAACGTGGCTTTACACTTCACACTATGAGGTCATACATAAACTTCATATGGGAACAAGCTTTCAACGGTAAAATCAGGCGCGCGCATCTTAATGCGTGGGAAGTGACAGTAGACTTCGCTGCTAGTATAAGTCGCGGTCACTTGAGAAGTGCGTGAGAATTTGTGAGGAAGTTTTATCACCGCGTCTATTTTCTTATATCAGTTAGAAACCTGCTTAAGGCAACCAGCTTAAAACATTTGTCTTCACGGGAGACGCTTTGCTCACACCCACGCAAGTTGCTGTTACAGCTACCTCATTATTAACTTGTTTTCATGACGTTTCTGATGCTTACATGTATCACAACTGATTATAACTTAAGTGTTATTAGATCGGTCTACTAATAGTAATAACGGAAAGTGTGCGAAGTAGTAATAATACACCTCAATTAAAAACATTCCAGGATAATTACCTATGATTAAAAGTATGAAATGTTTATATACTTTCGTTTTATTTGGGATCTACATCTATCTATGCATCTTGGACGAAAGTCAAGGTAAGTCATTCAGTGTACCTATTTTTGTTGACCTATTATTTCCATTTCCAGATATTTTCAACCAGAATACCTAACATAATTATCTTAATGTAGGCAGTCAGGCAGTAAGATATCCTAAAATGAATATTTTAAGTTACAATCGTTTAATTACTCTCGAACTGTATAGGTTTGTTCAGTTCTCATACAACATTAAAATTACATTATCAGCCAACCAATAAAACTCTGCGTTTTAAATACTTATAATAACTTATTTGTACATCTGAAATACCAAATTCGAGAAATGTCTAAACATTTTATTTTCTTCCATTTTCCCTGACTTTTTAATGCACACTGTAACAACAGTCCTTGGTTTTCTTTGAATGGTTATTTAAAGCCTTTATCCCCATTAGCAGACTACCTAAGGACACATCTATAAATTTAATTATTTTATTTTTTCCGGTTTTCTCAGGCTTTTTACACTGTAGATTTCTCCATACTATTTGTTTCGAAATTATATCCGTATTTGATTGGAAAGTACTTTGAAAGAATCAATTAAAAATACACTGGTTGGAAAGGACAACAGCTTACAAAAAACATATATCTAAAGAGTGCCAAAAAATTTGGTGTTAGACTCCAACCCAGCATACTTACGGATATATAGGTTTCCATAGAAAAGTGTTAATGTTTTCCATACAATTTATACAGCAGGATTCTTTAAATCTGTTCAAACTAGAAGCTTCCTTGAAGAGCCAACTCCTATAATATCGTAGTAGGGGAAAGGTTAGCTGTCACTGTCGCACACACACACACATATATATTATTAACACTCGAGTGGGCGTTAATAATTAACTACTGACCTATTCAAATAGTTTCTGGAAAATTTCTCAACGTTACATGCACCATACTTAATCGGTGAACGATAACACGCACATATATATCTATTTAAATTTACTAAGTAACTTTCATTTTTGATAAGAAAAGTTATTTCATGATCCTGTCACCTAATACACGAGAAGTAATTATTATTATTATTACGATGTTTAATAGTACACAGAAGTACTCCTAAATGATGTATTATCATAAACCAGAAACATTCGCCAGATCGATAATTAAATAGAAAGATACCTTAACTTTCTTCACTACTAAAGTGTGAAACAGAAAGATGAAACAAAAGAACCAATTAACACTGAAAAGCAGGTAGATGTAATGTAATTCAAAATTAATATTCAACTATCTTACTTGTAATATGCTTTAAACGTGTAACGAATTTGTTATTATATATTTATTTTAATATCAACGTTTGTTTAGATTAAAGTTATATTTAGAAACATACCTATAAATATAACCAACGCGACGCACCAAAAGGGGAGTATCCATTATTAGTTTGCTATAAACTTTGAGAGCTATAACTGTGATTGTTATAACGCATACTAATCGGAAAACTTCAGATA